ATTCACCCGTCAATCAATCTTCACTGATTACTGTACAAATGCACAACGTTATCACAACCGAATCATATTTTATGGAGAGAATATTGTCTGGTTTTCTCTCTGACATCCTCCGGCTGCTCTGCCTCAACTATCTCTAACTCTATCACAATCCGTTACAGGCCCCCAAAATCCTCAGATTGGAAATCTACGGCTCCCAACAGCACATTCACATCCAGTGTCTGCCAAATTCCCTCCCCACTCACAAGAGCTAGAATTTGATGGAAGTTTGACAAAATGAGGGAGTTTCTCTTTAAATACTGAAATTATGACAACAAAAAGCCGGCCCCTGGCGTCTGAGGGGCCCCTTTGAGCAGCTGTTTTCTCGTGCTGCATGCAGTTTAACAGTGAAACAGCTGAATGAGATCAGACCGAGCTGCTCTCTGAGGACTGACTGTTGTTGTGAAAGAGGGCGGCGGCTGCAGAGCTGCTCCGCCAGGATTCAACAGAAATCTGCCTGATGTCAGAACAGCTGCTGGTGTTCACATTAAATATCAGAAAGCAAGATCAAACTTTTCCTCAAAGGTTCAAAATGTTCTCAACTTCTGCCCAAAGAGCAACAACTGGGCTGAACGTTTCTTTTCTAACAGCACCAACAGGACACAACATACAAATGAGTTTAATCATGTTGATCTTTTGTTGAGTTGCAGGGAGACAGACGATATCGATGACTGTGAAGGTCTCTCAGTCATATAAGTCCTATTGCAGGACGTCTTAACAGGAGAATATCTGTACATTAAAGTCTCCATGAAGTCAGAATCAGTGTTTTAATCTGCTCTGTCTCCTGTCCTCCAACCCATCCGCATGAATTCTGGGCGACTTGTCCCAGCCATGTCCCCAAACTACTAGAGCTTTTATTCTCACTGGAATGTGTTGCCTTTGATTTTTAATTATACATAAAAGCAAATATTTCTAACCAACATTTATTGACAGTTTTTTAGAAAAGCTGCTGTGAAATAATTTTCTGCTCCAACAAGTAAAGCCTGAGGGACCCCGGAAGTACAGACACTGAGGGGGCCAAGGCACTAAATACTGAAAACCATTAGTTCATATTTATGGCAGGAAAGTAGCTTTGTCTCGTTTTTTATCAGTTTTGTTTGTGAAAAATGTTGTTAATAACTATTAAATATAATAAATGATCCTGGCCTTTAGCATTTAATCTGACGTCACTACATTCACTGACTTCCGCTGACTTCCAACAAACAACAAACAAACAGCAAACAAATAAACAAAAAACAACCATAAGAGACAAAAAAGCCGACCTATGAACTTCAAATTACAGCGATGTGACACAGCTTTAAACATGTTCAAACACTTCCTGGAGAGACTGCACACACACTGCACAGACTGCCACACACACTGCACAGGACTCGCCACACACACTTCACACACACGTGTATAATGCTGGGACTGGCGCAGGGGCCACGCCCAACCTGTGTCCAGCTGTTCCACAAAGTACTTATGATCCACATGTGTTTGACATCCATCGGTCTCTGCAGTCATGAGCCGCTTATGTGCTCTTGAGATAGGAGTTGAGTTTAGTGAGGAGATACTTTTAATGTTTTTTGAACAGACTCTCCTCGGTGAACGCCACCGTGCTGGCCCGACCATGAGATCAGTTGATAATGTAGATTTCTTTTAATTGCGACGCTAATTAATTAACTCATTAATTACATTCAGGTGTTTCTTCCTTTAGATCATAAATCCCTGGCAAAGCTTTTAAACTTTAATTCCGAAACAATTTTTAAACAATCAAAGGCGATCATTCCTCCTCCTCCTCCTCCTCCTCCTCCTGCTGCTGCTGCTGCCGACCCACCGAATCACTGATCAATACGTGATCGATCAGGTCCGCAGCTGAGATTCGGATCGTCTTACCTTGGTCGCCATGACAGAGCGGGTTCAGAGTCCGAGAGACACCGAAGAGAACTGCCAGGAGGGTTCACACATGTTGAGACTGCCTTGAGAAGTCACGAGTCTCCCACACACACACACCACCACACACAGCACACACACACACACAGCAAACACACACACACACACATTGCTTGTCTTTAAAAGTGTCTTTTGCTTGTCCGCTGCTATCAGCCCCCACCCCGGCTCAATCTGCCCCTGCAGGGTTCTGGGGCAGTTTTGCAGGGTTTCACTGCCAGCAGTTAACAGTGGCGAGTTCTACCTTGGAATGACACCCTGGCAGACCCCCCTTTTGAAGAAAGTTGAGGTGTTGACTGACTTACAGTGGATCCCCTGTTCCTTTGCCTGTCCCCATTTAGGGATACATGTCCCTTCTCACACAGCTTCCTTACACGCACGCTTCTCAGGGGAAGCACAGCGCCTTGCAGCTGCCTAAGGGGCGCCAATTTGCCATTCGCCCACACAGTGATGATGATAGAACAGGAGTGAATAACAGAAACCGCTTATATAGATTAATATAAATTAAAATATTTTTAAATGTCATTTTAAGTATATATAATTATAATATACCAATATATATAAACACTGCTATAACCAATATAAAGGCGCTGCTCAGCCGGTAAGATCAACATCCCCTTACTGAACAAACTGAGGGAAGACCGAGGTTCTGCTGAAAGCTCCAGAACAACAGAGTGGAGCGTCAGAAATCAACGACCTCTACACGGAAATAACAGATCTGATCTATTTAATGCCTGCAATAACTTTAATGTACAAAGTGAAACCAACAGACAGGTCTAAATCAGGGACTGCAGGGTCCTTGGAGGTCCTGGAGCGATTCTGAGAAATTCTGGACGGTTCTGGAGGATTCTGGAGGATTCTGGACGCGTTCTGGAGTTCTGGAGGGTTTTGGGCGACATCAGGTGAATGTACAGGACTGTCTGGAGGGTCGGTCCTGGGGTGCCAGTTTTGGTCCAGGTGCTGAGTAGAAGGAGTTGTCACTGTCGTCGACCCCCCCGGTTTGTCCTGGGTACACATGTCTGCTCACTGGACGGTGGGAAACAGAGGATTTAATCCTGGAGGATCAGCAGGAATGAACGAATTATGGCAATGCAATAAATGCTCCACCTGCCAGTCCGACTGAACTCGCTGCTTCGCTCTCGGCTCGGTCCTCTACTCTTGGGTGTTCCCACTCGACTGTCTGCAGTGTCTTCGGCACTTGCCGCCGAAGATCGTCTCTTCCTCAGTTTCCTGGCTCCGGCCTGGTCGGTTGGACCGAGGGGTCGAGGTCAAGAGCTGCAGTGTCGCAGGGTCTTCGCATCACTGGAGCTCCCCACCTGGAGAGAAACAGTTTTTCAGATTCGAGCCCACTTATATCACAATGTCTTATATGTTGCTTTGAAAAGAATTCATCTTATTATTGTTATATCTGCCAGGACAGAAACTTTAAAAAAAGTATTTACACCCATAAATCATGGCACTTGCGAGCAACTTCACAGATTCTAGGGGGTGGGTAGAGAAGCATGCGGAATACCCCGTCCCGTAAATTCAAGGAGAAGCCGTAGAGGGATAACCCCGGTGCAATCTTCTTCCTCCTTGGAAATTAAGGTTTTGGTAATTCTAGATATGAATTTTTAGATACATAAATGCAGTGGATTGCCTGAGATCGCCCAAATTGGTTTCCCTGAAAATATCCCACTCCGTTTGTTTTGCACATTTTCGCCGAATGTCGAAGATACATATGATCTCTTCACTTTGTACTATTGCGTTTTGTTTAGTGTGTCTGTCTCATGATAAATGTCTGCAGAAGAGAGAGAATAAACGAGCATATGGTGCTATTGAGCA